CTTGTCATCGCTGATGTCCCACAGCGAGGAGGCGGAGGAGAGCGGCTCCTGCTCGAAGACGTCCACAGCGGCACCACGGATGACGCCGTCCCGCAGCGCAAGCGCGAGGTCCTCCCCTTTCGTCGTGATGCCGCGGCCAATGTTGATGTAGATTGCACTCGGCTTCATCATGGCAAAGCGCTCCTTGTTGAAGAACTGCTTTGTCTCCTCCGTCCCTGGGAGGGTATTGACCAAGAAGTCGGACTCGCGGATCACGCGGTCCCGCTCGGCGTCACCGGACACCACAAGCGCGCCGTACTTGTCCACCTTCTCGGAGGGTGCGGAACGCCTGACACCTGTCACCTCCATCCCGAACACGGTGGCAAGGCGGGCGGCGGCCTGCCCAATGTCGCCGTAGCCAATGATGCCCACCTTCCTCCCGCGCAGCTCAACCATGTTGAAGGGGTCCCACTTGTGCGCCGCGCGGCTCGCCAGGCTGCGCCACGTTTGCCGGTAAAAGTACAACATGGAGTACATCACGTGCTCTGCCAAGATGGAAGAGTAGCAGCCGCGGCCATTCGTGAAGGGAATGTCCTTTAGCTCCTTCACAAGTTCATGCGGCCGGTAGACATCCACGCCCGCGGTGAGTGAGTAGATCCATAGAACCCTCCTCTGCTCCTTCGGCAGGTGGTAGTCGTCGCACAAGTCCTTGATCCCGTCGTACCCCGCGGGGCCGTCAACATAGAGGATGATGTGGTCCTTCGACTCCTTGACCTCCTTAAAATCGCTCACCTTCGAGCCCAGGGTGATGCTCTTGAAGAAGCTGCTGAGGTGCTTGTTAAACATTTCCATGTAGTACTCGCCATTGGCTGAGGCAGTACACACGCAGAGCCTGAGGGACATCTTCGTGGCTTGGGTGCGATGGAGTATGTGTAGATGGATAGCTGTTTTTTCTTCCTTGTGTTGATGGCTGTGCATATGGTGAGAAGAGCATGGGGGAGAAAGACGTCTTACAATTTTTATTTTTGGGTCGCTCCCCAAGGCTGGAGCTGAAATTTCCAGGGGTATTACAAAAGCGTTGTACGCG